CCGGTCACCAAAACTACTTTTCCCGTAAAGTTTCGTGAATTTATCACATCTTTATAGTCTTTGATATCAAAATCCGCACAAACTATTGAAATCAACGCCAATACTACTGTTAATTTCATTTTCAAATTAACTTATTTCGTAACACTTAAATACAGTATAATTTTCAGACCTTATAATATTGTGATACATAAATAGCTAAATAACTTCTTATATATACAATTTTATGAACTGGTGCATTTTTAGTGTAGATAACCTTTAAATTTTATAAGTTATTATGATATGACATCAATTATTGGTGCAATACAATCAATACCTTGAACATTGAGGTTGAAATGAAGCAATATTTAGAAAAATTGATAGCAATTATCAATACGATAATACAAAATAACAGTCTAGTATTGCTTTATTTACTAATGATAATTATGGGCACTTCTAATAACATAGTGCACACAAAAATTGTTAATACTTTCTTAAATACAAAATTGTGTGAATTGGTGCATTTTTAGTGCAGGATCCTTTAAAGATGGCAACTATTAACTCATATTATCATGTTAACGTTTATCAGTGAAAATTAATTACCGTAGTACCTTAAACATAGGAGTTGAAATGACAAAAAAAATTAAAAATAACATAAAAGTTTATTATAATTTAAACACTTAATAAATTAATTTAAATAAAAAATAACATTTAATCTTACAGAAATTAATACAGAAAAAACATAATAAAAACTCGTAAAATTCCAAATGTGATAAGCCACAAAAAAGTTTATTTGACAAACATTCAATTAATTTCTAATAGGCAATTGTAAATGATCAATTTCATAAATACAAAATCAACTTATATATTTATATATATTTTTTTATTTATACAATTGTAATTATAATTTTATTAAATTTTGAATAATTTGTGTAAATGTTGGATAAACAAATAGATTTACAAAACATCGGTATTTAAAACACCGAAATTATAGACAACTCCGCCGTCGACCACCAGATTAGCGCCGGTTATGAATGAGGCATCACTTGAGGCCAGGAATGCCACGGCTTTTGCGATATCTAATGGTTGTCCCAATCGCTTAAGAGGTGCTATTTTCTTGGATACTTCATAGATGTGGGCAGACATGGGGTCCAGTATATCAGTCGTATGTATAGTACCCGGACTATTAGAAAACAAATGTGTTAGAAATATATTTTCATAATACAACCATGCTAATAATAATGAATTACTTGATAGTATTGACACGAATCCCTTTGGCTCCCAATTCAAGGGCCAGTACTCTAGTAATCATATCTAAACCGGCTTTTGCGGGTCCATAGGCCAGGGTTTCGGCTAACTATTAGATAATTTTAGGTAAAATATATTAATATATTAAATAAATAGCATTTTATTATTAAATAAATACCGGCGCTAAGGCAGCAATACTCGAGATATCAATGATAGTACCATTAGTTTTCTCCAGATATGGAACCGATTCGTGAATTAGTTCGACGACTGCTCTCAAGTCTATGGCGAAGACCTGATCCCAAACTTGCATTAAATCTTTTTGTGTAATATTGGTTGCCATACCCATACCGGCGTTATTCACCAAAACATCTAATTTTCCAAATCTTTTGATAGTATTTGCGATCAAAGTGTTGATGACTTCAGTTTTGGTGAGATCTCCGACCACTTCTAATGGCTGTTCAGTATAAATGAAATTAATATTATTTTACATTCAAATTAATTACAGATTTTAAGTTTACAAACCTTTAGTTTCTTTGGCGACAATTCCTGCACTTCTTTGGCGACTCTCTGGACATCCGCTTCTTTCCTACCGGTGACCACAACATTGGCCCCTAATATAGAGAACAGTTTTGTGATCCCCTCTCCGATTCCAGAACTACTTCCGGTCACTAAAACTACTTTTCCCGAAAAGTTTCGTGAATTTATCACATCTTTATAGTCTTTGATATCAAAATCCGCACAAACTATTGAAATCAACGCCAATAATACTATTATTTTCATTTTCAAATTAACTTATTTAGTAACACTATATATATAATTTTCTAGAGTTTATAATATTGTAACACATAAATAGTTAAATACCTTTTTATATAAAAAATTTTATGAACTGGTGCATTTTTAGTGTAGATAACCTTTAAATTTTATAAACTATTATCATAGTTCATCATAAGACATCAATTGTTAGTGCAATACAATTAATACCTTGAACATTGGGGTTGAAATGAAGCAATATTTATAAAAATTGATAACAAATACCAATACGATAAAACTTAATAAATGAATATAGTCTAGTGGTTAATAGACTAATAAAATGAAGTTCATTATAAGAAATAGTGATATAGTAGTCATTCAAAGAATTTTGTTTGGATAATACTTAGCCTTATTTTTGTAATATTGTTTATTTTAGAAATAATTATTATTTTATTGAATATAGTCTATTTTACTATTAAATTTTAAACCTTATTAACGCAACATATTTATTATAATAGTTATTACAAATACAAATCCAAATTAAAAGCTAAATACCGGTGAAATTTAAGTTTGAATATAATTTTTGTTTAGAAATATCGTAATTATATATACAAATTAAAATTTTAGTTAAATTCTTATTTAATAATTATAAAATTGTCGGTTAATAAAATCTAAAGCTTATATTAACTTTAATTGTGTATTTGTTGTTTATTTAATAATATTTAAAATATATTTATATTTATCTATTGATTTTAAAAATAAAAGTAATATAAACTTTAGTGAACAGGAATGAAATATGAATTTGGTAATTTTTATTAATTTCAAAATTCAAATAAACGGAAATATTCAAAATATAAAAAATTATAAAGTATTAAAAGCGCCGATATTATAGACAAGTCCGCCGTCGACCACCAGATTAGCGCCGGTTATGAATGAGGCATCACTTGAGGCCAGGAATGCCACCCCTTTAGCGATATCTAATGGTTGTCCCAAACGCTTGAGTGGTGTTATAGTCTTTCCCCATTCATATAGGGGGTCCACTTTGTCAGTCACTTGAATAGCACCTGGACTAAAATATTTTAATAGAGAAATTTTAAAATAACAAATATTTAATAGTTAGTCCATGTTTTATAAACAAATATTATTTATAATTAAATTACTTCAAAGTGTTGACACGAATGCCTTTGGGTCCCAATTCGAGGGCCAGTACTCTAGTAATCATATCTAAACCGGCTTTTGCGGGCCCGTAGGCAACGCTTTGGTATAACTATCAGAGAATAAGATTTATAAATATAATTACAATTTGTAAAATATATTTTATATTACATATAATCATTATTACCGGTGCAATGGCACCAATACTCGAGATATCAATGATAGTGCCGTTGGTTTTCTCCAAATGTGGAACCGATTCGTGGATTAGTTCGACGACTGCTCTCAAATCAGTGTTGAATACTTGATCCCAGACTTGCATTAAATCTGTTTGAGTTATGTTTGTCGTCGGATATATACCGGCGTTGTTCACCAAAACATCTAACTTTCCAAATGTTTTGATAGTATTGCCGATTAAAGTAGCGATGAATTCAGTTTGTGTGAGATCTCCGACCACTTCTAATGGCTGTTCATTATATATAAAATTAATATTAGATTTCACTCAAATTAATTACAGGTTTTAAGTTTACAAACCTTTAGTTTCTTTGGCGACAACTCTTGCACTTCTGTAGCAACTTTCTGGACATCCGCTTCTTTCCTACCGGTGACCACAACATTGGCCCCTAATATAGAGAACAGTTTACTGATCCCCTCCCCGATTCCAGAACTACTTCCGGTCACCAAAACTACTTTTCCCGTAAAGTTTCGTGAATTTATCACATCTTTATAGTCTTTGATATCAAAATCCGCACAAACTATTGAAATCAACGCCAATACTACTGTTAATTTCATTTTNGTCACCAAAACTACTTTTCCCGTAAAGTTTCGTGAATTTATCACATCTTTATAGTCTTTGATATCAAAATCCGCACAAACTATTGAAATCAACGCCAATACTACTGTTAATTTCATTTTAAAAATTAACTTATTTAATTTTATAATTAATTTTCAACCCACAACTACTGTTATAAATAATATTAAAATTCTTCATTATATACAAAATTATATAAACTGGTACATTTTTAGTGTAGAGAACCTTTAAAGTTTGTAAGTTATGGTCTCATATCGTGTAATCACTTATCTGGTGCAAGTCAATCAATATCTTTGAACATTGGTGTTTAACAAGGTCACAATAATTTATCAATTTGATATTACTTTTAATAAATTGTTTTTAATACTTATTGTATTAGATAATTAATATAAGATATGCAACCACACTGAATTTATTTGCACTATTTGTGTTACAATTTTGTCTAATTCAATATAAACAATAATTCTAATGATATTAATCTTGTAAAATATTTTCAATATAAATACTTTGCAGTAAAGTTAATTTCAATGATAATTTTGTTTGAAATTAGCTCTACATTACGATTTAAAGTTAAGTATAATTAAAACCACTTAAAAGTTTCAAATTAAACATTTATTGTAATTAAAAAACATTTTTTAAGTTTTAAAATCTTTAAAATGATTTTATATAAAACATGAGATCTTATATAGAATTGTGTAAAACATTACTATTTATAATACAAAATACGATTACATTTAAGCATTAATTACAAAATGAATAAATGTTTGATAAATGAATTAAAAATCTTTTAAAACAAATGTTAAGAAATGAATGACAAAACTATTGACACGAATCACATGAATATTGGCTTTAATTCACAACTTTTGCTTTCAATAGACAACTGTTTGGCCATCGAATCGATTCTGACATCTCTTTCTGAGACAATCGACAAACTCTTCAAATTCAATCCATTCTTCGACTTCTTTTGGTCATTGTCTTCAACGACTGCACCGTTTGTTTGCATCGATTTGTTCACAAACTTTGTTAACTCGAACTCCAGTTCCCATTCAACTGTCGATGTCTTGTTACAGATCTGTGAATCCGATTGTCTCACCATTGGATCCAATCGATGGTTCACTGGTTTCGTCACTTCTGATGGTTCTTCGACTCGAGTGATGGTAACAGTGAATGGTTTGCAATGAAGTGATAGCAGTCTTGACCTCCAATTCAGACCAGTCTTACGTCTGAACCTCTTCTCTAGTGATTGTCTTCGAGTGAATCCATAGACGAAGTGCTCTTCACTTAACTTTTCACTCAATTCCCACACTTTTGCCTTCATTTCGATATTCCTCGGCAGCCATCGATTGAATCCATTGACATGTCTTTGCAATGGATTTAAAAGCTTCTTATTCTTCGGATAAGAGATCTCTGGAACCGATTGAGTGGACAACTCGTGAACCATTCGCTGAGATAATGGTCTGA